GAAAGTTAAACGCGGAAGACTACGGAAAGCTAAGCTCGGAACTAATCTTTCTTGTCTAAATTTGTCTCAATTACTACGCACGAGAACTATTTACGTACAAGTAAGTTTGCGCAATGATATATATAAGTTTGCGCAATATATATATAAATATATATTGTGACAATTTTGCTTAAAATTCGTTTTTTTTTTTATTCCAGATAAAAGCTTTGAAATTTTTCAAAATATTTCAGTGAAATCTTTGCTTTCCAAATTGATATTTTCTAATTATAGTTTGGATATGGGGAGGGGGACAGCGTTAGTTTAAATTGATTTCCCGCCACACACACACACACACACACACACACACACACACACACACACACACACATACTCTCTGGTACATTTAGAGTTGCTGCAGTCAACAGGTGATGCCCTGATTCCCTTCAGAGAACAATGTTGTGTCTATCGCACGGATTGCCTAAGACAGGAGCCCCAAACTGAAGGACACAACAGGGCCATTACGTGCTGAGGGAAAAGTGCAGCGGCCAAAAGCAGATCCATCACCCTTGGGGATGGCATCAACTTCACAACTTGAAACCTGTGGACTAGTTTTCACAAATTGTGTTCGCGGGCTCCCTTCGACAGGAATTGTAAATGTAAAAGAGAATGAGAGAGGTGGACAGACAGGCGGGAAGTCAAGCAGGTAGACTTATTTTTGCGCGCATTCCAACCGTTTGTGTTCATGTTCGTCTTAAAAAAAATTCTACGAGTAATTAAAAATAAAAATAGAATTATCGATTGTTAAAATGCAAGCTAAATACTTGTCCCAGATCAGTTAATACAGGAAACGCTGTTGAGCATTAAAAACGAGTTTTTTTCTTCCCTTTCCGTTGAGAGGAACCAGAACAGACCTTCTCCGACTTTAAAATGTATTGAATCTTTGTTGGCACCTGGTCTTGTTCAATATTCTACTGCAAAAATATAGAAGTGGCGAGGGAAAGATTTACAGTGTAACCCGGATATAAGAGAGTTGTCGGGACCGGAGAAGAAGTCTCTTATATTCGGGTTTCTCTTATATCCGGGTTTGGTCTATTTTATATACATTAACACAGGCTCTAATTTGGGACCAGAGAAAATCTCTCTTATATCTGGGTTTCTCTTATATCCGGGTTTGGTCTATTTTATATACATTAACACAGGCTCTAATTTGGGACCAGAGAAAATCTCTTTTATATCCGTGTTTCTCTTATATCCGGGTTTTTTCTATTTTATATACATTAACACAGGCTCTAATTTGGGACCAGAGAAAATCTCTTTTATATCCGGGTTTCTCTTATATCCGGGTTACACTGTATTAAATTCTGAGGAAAATACTGGTCACGAAAATGGTTCCTCGCGTACCGGCTGTTTGAGACCTCTGGTCTAATCGATTACTCTCAACCGAAAGCAAGACTCGAATATTTTGACTGCACTTTAAACACTACGCATTTGATAAACGGATTAAATAATTAAATTACAGATTCATTTTTCTTTGTTGCTGTACCATCATATTTCTGTCATTTTTTTTTTTTTTATAGACACTGACAATTTGAATTCAATTTATTGTCTGTGATTTTCGGGCGGGGTTCGAATCTTGCCATAGTCGATTTCTCAAACGAAGGTGATTTGATAATATCGGCTTGAATAAACGATCCCATTGCGTGCAAAGTGCCTGAAGATGATGCCCTGAGTTGACCTAACCCTTGTAAGTGAAATCGGGAAAGCAAAACTGTATGGAAGCCATCGCTCTAACACGAAGTCACAAGTCGCTGTGGCTGAGGTTTTGAGTGTACTGGACGTGTTCAAACTAGTGATCATGCCAGATTATGGATCCCCCTCCCCCCAAAAATGTAACTAAGGTCCTCTCAGAATATCTACGTTATAAATCACAGGTTGGCTCTGTGGGTGTTGAGCAAATATAAATTTGCCTGAGAAAGCGTCTACAACAGGGATTAGCTCGCCACCCTAACAGACAGACATATTCGGTTACAAGCGGCGACCAACAATATAACTGTTTGACTTCTTAACTGTCTAACTTTTAGGAGAGTTGTTAACCTACCCATTATTATTATTATTTTTATTATTATTATTATTATTATTATTATTATTATTATTTCCTTTGATTTTTGGTGTGTACTCAAATAGCATCACGACATTTTCCACTGAGCAGGTTTGAAAAGAAAATCACACATATTCTACATAAAGCCCTTCCTAAAGTGTGGGCTGTACTCATGAGAACAATTTTTTGTAATTTCTTTAAGGCATGGGCTTCCAGGAATCCCTTCAATGAGTCAATTAGAATCTTTTATAATCAATCCGAGGGCTCCAACTACAAATGGAATTGTTGATGTTCTCATGTGCTACATTTTTTTCTTCAAAGATTCATTTTCGGTCTTCAGGGACTGCAATGCCAATAAGAAGGCACATTTTGTCTTTGCGGTCTCTAATCATGATGTCGCGTATGACGGAGGAAATATTTCGGGACTCGGTTGGTCCATTCTACGTCACATGCCATATTCGCCCGATCTGGCACCAACCGGGTGATTAGCTTTTTCGATTGCTACAAAACTATTTGGAGGTGAAACTTTCGTAATTGGAAACCAGATTCAAGTGTTCGAACCGAAAGCGTTCGCTATTGAAAACCAGATTCAAGAGTTCGAACCGAAAGCTTTCGCTTCTGAAAACCAGATTCAAGAGTTCGAACCGAAAGCTTTCGCTATTGAAAACCAGATTCAAGAGTTCGAACCGAAAGCGTTCGCTATTGAAAACCAGATTCAAAAGTTCGAACCGAAAGCTTTCGCTTCTGAAAACCAGATTCAAGAGTTTGAACCGAAAGCTTTCGCTATTGAAAACCAGATTCAAGAGTTCGAACCGAAAGCGTTCGCTATTGAAAACCAAATTCAAGAGTTCGAAGCGAAAGCTTTCGCTTCTGAATACCAGATTCAAGTGTTCAAACCGAAAGCGTTCGCTATTGAAAACCAGATTCAAGAGTTCGAAGCGAAAGCTTTCGCTTCTGAAAACCAGATTCAAGTGTTCAAACCGAAAACGTTCGCTATTGAAAACCAGATTCAAGAGTTCGAACCGAAAGCTTTCGCTTCTGAAAACCAGATTCAAGAGTTTGAACCGAAATCTTTCGCTATTGAAAACCAGATTCAAGAGTTCGAACCGAAATCGTTCGCTATTGAAAACCAGATTCAAGAGTTCGAAGCGAAAGCTTTCGCTTCTGAAAACCAGATTCAAGTGTTCAAACCGAAAACTTTCGCTATTGAAAACCAGATTCAAGAGTTCGAACCGAAAGCGTTCGCTATTGAAAACCAGATTCAAGATTTCGAACCGAAAGCTTTCGCTTCTGAAAACCAGATTCAAGAGTTCGAACCGAAAGCGTTCGCTATTGAAAACCAGATTCAAGAGTTCGAACCGAAAGCGTTCGCTATTGAAAACCAGATTCAAGAGTTCGAACCGAAAGCTTTCGCTATTGAAAACCAGATTCAAGAGTTCGAATCAAAAACTTTCGTTAATGAAAACACGTGAAATTTTACTCAAAAGTTATTGGTGAGCTGCCTGGTAATTGGCAAGAAGTCATTTCAAATAAGTGTTGAATATACAGTGGAACCTCGGTTCACGAACTTAATTCGTTCCTGAAGGCCGTTCGTAACCAGAAATGTTCGTAAACCGAAACTATTTTTCCAGTAGGAATCACTTTAAAGAAAAAAGTCGCAGTACAATAAAATTGGAAAAGAAAAGCACTGAACAACTCACGAATCTATAAAACACGGCGGTCGACTAAGAAATGATTCCGTTCGGGTTAACATGGTTCAGCAATGTTGTTCGAGAACCGAAATTTTGTTCGATAAGCGAGACATTTTCATCTCGAATTTTCTGTTCGAAAAACGATTTGTTCGACATGTGAGACGTTCGGGAAACGATGTTGCTCTGTATAATTGAATAAAATGCAATTGCCCTTTATTTTTTCAAGAATAAAGTTGATAAGCAAAAGCAGAAATTATGACTCAACTGCGATATGCGAAAAGATATGTAACGCTGAAACCAGCCGTTCATTTATGGTTAGACTTGAGGAAGATAAGACACCTGTAGCCAGATATTGAACTCACAATTCCTTGGACCAGCGCATTACGAGGCATGTGCGTAAGTCCCGTAGAATCGTTAAATGCCTAAGTTCGTCAAATGCCTTCGTTTGCCGTAGCCGGACGTGCGCCGTGCCTGGACAGTGGTCATGGGACCACTAGCCCGAAGTAGTGCCTAAGTTCGGTGGCCTTCGTTTACCGTAGCCGGACTCCCGTAATGCGCCTTAGAAGGTAAGTGCGTAAAGTGCGTAATTTTGTCGAAGGCCTTCGTTTGCCGTAGCCGGACTCCCGTAATGCGCCTTAAGAGGCATGTGCGTAATTCCCGTAGAAGGCCTCCGTTTGCCGTAGCCGGACTCCCGTAATGCGCATTACGAGGCATGTGCGTAAGTCCCGTAGAATCGTTAAATGCCTAAGTTCGTCGAATGCCTTCGTTTGCCGTAGCCGGACGTGCGTCGTGCCTGGACAGTGGTCATGGGACCACTAGCCCGAAGTAGTGCCTAAGTTCGGTGGCCTTCGTTTACCGTAGCCAGACTCCCGTAATGCACCTTAGAAGGTAAGTGCGTAATTTTGTCGAAGGCCTTCGTTTGCCGTAGCCGGACTCCCGTAGTGCGCCTTAAATCTTTGTGCGTAACTCCCGTAGAAGGCCTTCGTTTGCCGTAGCCGGACTCCCGTAATGCGCCTTAGAAGGTAAGTGCGTAAAGTGCGTAATTTTGTCGAAGGCCTTCGTTTGCCGTAGCCGGACTCCCGTAGTGCGCCTTAAGAGACATGTGCGTAAGTCCCGTAGAATCGTTAAATGCCTAAGTTCGTCGAAGGCCTTCGTTTACCGTAGCCGGACGTACATCGTGCCTGGACAGTGGTCATGGGACCACTAGCTCAAAGTAGTGCCTAAGTACTTCGATGTCCTTCGTTTGCCGTAGCCTGACTCCCGTAATGCGCCTTAGAAGGTAAGTGCGTAGTTCCGTAGAAGGCCTTTGTTTGCCGTAGCCGGACGCGCGTCGCCCGCCTCGGCAGTGATCGGCGAAATTACTTTTCGGACTAAGTTACGATTTTCGATTTTTTGGAAAAAATTCAAAAAATAAAATTCGAATTTCAAACTAAACCTATTGATTGTTGTTTTTATGTCATTTCTAAGGTTTTTGTATAGTTTTCATATTGAATAGTATGAAATTTTGCAAAAAAGCAAAGGTTGTTACACGAACAGGTTTCAAAGAATAAGTTGGTAGGAAGTTCGAGCTTGTCCGGTTAGCGTCGCGGAGACGGCAACTTTGCGCCTCGCGGCGGCTTAGGCCTCAGCCTTTCGCTGCCACGCGTGTTATGTTTGTTTTCTCTCGCTTTTACCTCAACTTTCGCTTATCCATGACTTCTTTTGTTTTCTTACCACCGCGCTCCCTAACGCCGTCATGCCGCCTAAGTCGATTTCGCCTTGGCCGGCATTCCTTCGGAAGTAGGAAAGCGTATTCGCACAATACTCCCTAGGAGAACGCCGCCGCCTTCTCTCGCGATTATCGGTCTCTATAGGAACTGTTCGAATACTCTACTCCAGGACAAACCTCTTGGCTCGCTCCCTCGCCGCATCTGTCTCTGCTTCAGATGTAACCCTTTATCGCTCGCCGTACATCGTAAAGGCCCATCGTGTTTCGGCAGGCAGATGTGAGGGTACAGCGCTGCCAACACTCGTGCGTCGTCTCTTTTTCTTCGCGTACCGCATTCCCTACCGAAGAATCTTGGACCAGCGGATAAAAGCACTGGTCGAATCCAGTGACTTGACCCAGAGAGTTGTGTGTTCAATATTTGGTATGTTGGTGTTATAGAGTAGTTTCACAGTGGAGGCTTGTATTTCACCAAGTCGGTCCTAAAATAGGTTCGACGTACAAAACGTTAGGAACTTGATATAAGAGTTAATGACGCAGCAATCTAGTTGTGGTGGTTGATACTTTAATGTCCGACATCGACTGACTCACCAACTCTCTGAGGTCACTGGCGACTGCTACTACTCCTACTTATTATAGGTGGGAGAGTCTATTAACAATAGAATAGGTATGTTCCAGTATAGAACACATTGTAAAAAAAAAAAAGGTTAATTTACAGTGTAACACCCACGCTCAGTTCGCCTTAAAAATTTCAAAAATACTTAGATTTATGCATAATTGTACATGCTCCATTCGAATCTGGCTTAATAAATTTGATAAAATCTACCGTTTTGGAGTTATCGACAGTGAAATTTAGGATTCAATCGCGTCGTTGGCGGCAGCCATTACTCGCGTTGTTTGCAGACATTCGCTGCAGAAAGTTAAACGCGGAAGACTACGGAAAGCTAACCCCGGAACTGATCTAAATTTGTCTCAATTACTGCGCACGAGAACTATTTACATACACACGCTAAGTTTGCGCAATGATACCTACACTGATATTTATTCTGCAACAAATGTATACAAACAACGCCAGTAATGGCTGTCCGCGACGCGAATGAATTGGAATTTTCACTGTCGATACTCCAAAACGATAGATTTTATCAAATTTATCAAGACAGGTTCGAATGGAGCATGTACAATTATACATAAATCTAAGTATTTTAGAAATTTTTAATGCGAACTAAGTGCGGGTGTTATACTGTAAATTAACAACAAAAAAAAAAAAACACTGCTAAATTCATTTTCTATTCGTTTATGGGAACTTACCCATAATAATAATGGACTATTCCTGACATTATAAATTATAAATACTGTGCCTCTCAAGATTGTAAGACGAGGAGAGATAATTGAGAGCAATTGTAAGGACATTGGAATAGTGATACTTGTCGAGAGAACATAGTTCACGCTAACCAAATCTGATAGTCATTACTAATACTTCTACTTCTTTGTATTATATTTCTGTTGTAATATATCTTTGTATTCCATACCTGTGTTCGTGTTATTCTTTCATTGGTTCTAATCTTGGACCATCACCGTGCTACAAGGAACTTGGACCATAACATTTATAAAAATGTGTTTTAAAATGAATATGGAATAAACTTTCTAACGTAAACGTTATAAGATATTTTAAAAATCAATTGCTGCGAAGGTTGGTGTTTGTTAATACTAGAAAATACTTAATTGTACTTCGACCTTGGCTAAGAAGATATAAATATGCTTGGATATGTGGCGTGAAAGTTAAAAGAAAAAAAGAAAAACATTTTGAGATCTACATAGTAATTATTTTATGAAAACTATGACAAAGTGGAAAAAAAACTTGACACATAACGCGTTTTATCCTTTCTGACTTCATTGGATTAGGATTCTTATCTCCATTGGTAGTTGCATAATTAAAAGAAAAATTTGTAGTTCCAACGAATGATTTATTTCATCGGACTAAAGCGATGGTTATGTTGATGTGATTAGGCATGCGCAGGAAGAAGGAACGCTGAAATTTGAAATTTAAAATATTTTTTGTTAATACGTGTTTTGTGTACATGACGCGTTCGGCAGAGGAGAGGCGTATTCAACAAAAAAAATAATGGAAAAATTCCTTTTTTTTTTACTACAAATTATTCATTATATCATATCCAAATATTTTACAAAAAAAAAAATAGAGCCTACACAATATTTCAAGCTCAATTTAAGTTTGTAGCTCGTAACCATGCGATTTGATGAGGTAACGTAAACCGTAGATTATTGTTACATAATTTTAGTGAAATCATGAATATTTTTTTGTCAAAAGCATTTTATTTTCGGTCGTATATTAATTTAAAATATTCCTTTTTACGGGCTTTAATTTTTAAATGGAATAAGATCATTCTAAATTTCAGAATTTCGCTCTAGTCCATCAAAATGACTGGAAGAAAAGCGATCTAAAAACAACAATGGAAAAGAGAGGTGGAACAAAACGTAAACGAAATAGTTCTAGTTTGTTCAACTTCGGAAAAAAACATTGCAGCCAAAGTATTCTAAAAATGCTTCCAATAAAAGAAAAATGAAAATACCTAACAACAAATCGAATATAGCATCAAAATTTATATTATTTTTATTTATTTGTTATTTAACTAAATACATAATTGTCAACAATGTTTCTGCAAAACTTGATATTTCCTGTAATAAATTCTTAATAATTATTATTTTAAGTGTAAGACAGTCCTACATTTACAATTCCTTACGGCTAACCACAAAAAAATGTTGTTCAAAACTGCCTAAAACCTCTAAGCCCGTATTGTCACAAAATTATCAAATGTCGAATACGCCCCTCCTCCGCCGAACGTGTCATGTAGTCTAGTTGATTATATTTAGTTTCTTTTTAAGTTTTCATCCATTTTGTTATTAAATATCCCACATTGTGATAATAGAAAATCTGCCAATAAAGGTGAAATGTTGTGAGAACCTAGTGATTAAAACACTTTCTATACATTATTGTCTTAGTAATTTGCTTTCATTTTTAATTGAAGTAGCATTTTTAAAATTAAATTTAGATTTTCCTAAAACGTTTTCTTGATATATATAAAGAAAAACAGATCACTTTAAGGTACCATTATAATAATTTATTTCACCATAGTCCCTTTTAAAGGACGCCGGATCATTAGATAACACTTCAAAAATGAAATGAAACGAAAATGAAATTAAAATTCATGGATAGTGTAAAATTGTAATTTAACAGAGAGTGTAAAAGGAAAGTTAAAGAGACATGGTAGAGTATAAGGAGGGATTAATTTCATATCTCTCTCAATCATACTTTTGTATTGGGGCGAGGAGGAGACCAGACCTTGACCTATTTAGACGGTTAACTTAACGGAAGTGATATATTGAAATGGGAGGAGAGAAATTTTTTTCCAAAAAAAAAAAAAGAAAACGAAAGACGAAATTCAGGGAATTAAATCAAAAAAGGCTGTAATTGGGTTTTTTAATATTTATGTAAAATAGATTTTAATGCTTGATAGTAATTTAGATGTCTAAAAAAACGAAGAAATTAATTTGATGCTTTTTTTAAAATTTAAATATTTAATTTTTTTACAAATAGTATAGGGATTTAATATAAGTTAAATACTATATTTATTAACAAAGTAGCAGTAGAGCCCGGCGTTGCCCGGGGATGTAACAGTAAGAGATAGATCAAGTATCGACCATCATAAAGACTGAAAAATAAAATTGACAAAGATTATTGTTTAAGGTTTGACGGACACGCATGTCTTAATTAGTTTTGGTTTTTTTTTTTTAAAATTGGTCAAACCCAAACTCAAACAAAAACATTGTTTTTTTCGTTAAGAGTCTACCGATTGAATAGAATTTTATTATAAACAATTGTCTTGTAAATGGAATTTTTAAAAGCATTCTGAATGTAAAAATAAAAAAAAAAAAAAAACAAGACAATAAGAAACACTACCTGCCAAAAAAAAAAAGTGAAGTTTTGTTTGAAATCGGTTTGAAAAATCTAGTAAATCCGATCCCATATATAAAGGAACACACACACACACAAAAAACTTTATTTTTCATAATAAGTATAACTCGATAATATGAGTTGTCTCCTTTCATTCTCGCGATAGCGATGCCTCTTAATCATGTTTTCAAATTGATTTCGTGCAAAAACAATTGTGTTTTTTTTCTATTTTTTGGCGCTGTCAGAATTACCGCAAGGTAATTTTACATAATCCTAATGAAGTTTTGTTGAAATCGGTTGAAAAATGTAGGAAATTCGATCCAATATATAAACGAACAGACACACACACAAATTTTGCTTTTTATAATAAGTATTATGATTTATAAATTCAAATCCCCTGAAAATATTAACAAAATAACATAAAAAAATTAAATTATAAAAACATGTTTACCCGACTAATCGTTATTTTTAAATATTGTAAAAAAGTTACGGTAACATCTTTTTTCAGTTTTTAGGGATAATATATATATATATATATATATATATATATATATATATATATATATATATATATATATATATATCCCATATTAATTATTGCAACTTAAATATATATTGAGGTTTAAACGATTCACACGGAATATACAATCCAAATGCAAACAAAAACTCGAGTTGCGTGTGAGTTTGTTTTTATTTTTATATCTTTAATATTTATTATATCTATTACTGAAATAATACAGTAATTCTGGCAATGAAAAAAAAAAAGGGGCGGAGAGCTGGTCTCTGCTAAAATTCCTAGTCCTAGTTAATCCCAATCACGACCCATTTATCCAATACAATTTATCCATTTACAACAAGAACACATCCCTCACCACTCGATCTCGCATATACCACAGTACCACACAATCACAGGGGACCTACAAAGCACCTCATGGTATAAAGAAATTCGTGAAAGTTTATAATAAACATATATAAAAATTTCATAAATCATGAAATGAGGGAGAGGGAACGAACCCCAAAAATAACAAAAGATTGAAACAAAACAAACTAAAACCTGTCCTGGGCATGACGATAAACTACATCCGCGTCCTGAGTAAGACGATAAACTACGTCCAAAAGCAAGGCCTCTGATTAATAGGTTTTTGATTTATTGGAACCACCTATTAATTACTGGTGTTTCCCATTCACCCTTGACCAGGGGTGGTATACCTGTTATCAATCAAAGCTATTCACAAAATAGTTAACCCCTAAACTAGGGTTTAAACACTATGAAAGCGTAAAAATAGAATGTCGGGAATCGAACCGGTGTAGAAATCGAACCTGTATCCTATACGGAACCGGCATTATAAAGGTAATTTACATTAACCAGAAAAAAGGCTTTGACACAAGCGTCTATCTTTTTAATTTTGAATTTTAATGTAACTATAACAACAAAAACATTTCTATTTCATTTTTGCCTTGAAAAAATTCGGAAGACGAAACGCGTCGGCAAAAATGTAAGATTTTTTTTCAATTTCATTTGATACCATATATATATATATATATATATATATATATATATTATTTAAGACATTTTTATGTTTATACATTCTTTTTATAGATACAAATATTTAAGTAAATGCTTACAAACATTAAGGCACGTCAGGCTAAATGACGGTTCCGTATAGGATACAGGTTCGATTTCTGTCGGAGGACGAAAATTTTCTATGAAAATTACTCGGACTTTCAGGCCGGTAAATGTTGTTTAATAGTGTTTATTATAAAAACAGAGCATTTACTTAAATATTTGTATCTCTAAAAAAATGTATAAACATAAAATGTCTTTTCGTTATATATGTATTTATTTTAAATTTTGTTCTTTTTAGATAAAATATTTATTGTAAATGCTCTGTTTTTATAATAAACATATTAAACAACATTTACCTTTTGAATGTCCGAAATGTTGGAATCGAACCTTGTAAATGGTTTAAAAATACGGAAAATTTTGATATAACCTTGACAAAAACAGTTAAAATTATCAGGCTATATGAAAAATTCCGTATAGGATACAGGTTCGATTCCTGTCGGAGAAACGAAAAATTTTCTATGAAAATTTCTCAGACATTCAGGCCGATAAATGTTGTTTAATACTGTTTATTATAAAACAGAGCATTTTTTAAATATTTGTATCTATAAAAAAAATGATATACATAAAAATGTCTTAAAATAATTGTCGGACTTTGTCCATTTCATATATATATATATATATATATATATTTAATTGGATTGATGTCAGTTTGTGACCCTTGGTATCACGCTTTTTTAATAATCAGACAAACTGATTAATTTTTTTTAAAAATTTGGGTTTATGTAGATTGCGTGTATTTGTTATTGTGGAAGAAAATTGTTAAAAAACCCAGGGTCACAAACTCATCTATCCAATCAATATGTTAGCTCTATCTCTTATATTGAGCGCTTTCTAATAAGTACCGAAATATAATATATAAATAATTATACATATATATATTTTATTTATATACACACAAAAATTCACACACACACACACACACACACACACATATATATATATATATATATATATATATATATATATATATATATAGATATAGAGAGAGAGAGTTTATGCAAATTTAGGTAATCCGTATGGGTAGACCTGAGGAGGATGATATCCAGAGAGCTCAATGTAAAATTCAGAGCAGATATGTTTGAATAAAAGACAGACCACGTTAAGATTCCATGTAATAAGCTATTTCACCATAACCCCTTTAACAGGGTTCTGGATCATCAGACTTTACTTCCAAAAGCTAAAATGAAAAATGAAATTCACACGTTTTTTACGGACCTCATCAAGTATACGTAAAGTTAAAAAAGGAAGTGAGGTGGGAGAGGATATGAGTGTGTCATATGTATCATTTTAGTTTCCTATTTTAACCCCAGTGTGTCGGCTGGATGTTGCTCAAATCTAACGCGTCTCGTCTCTAGATAAAGGTGGTTAAGAGGTGAGCGATAAGGACTACATTAAAAGGGAGACGTTACAACAACCCCAATATATATATATATATATATATATATATATATATATATATATATATATATACACACACTCCGGATGTAATAGCAAAATTGTTCACATCAGGTTACAGCATAATTGTCCATTCAACAAAATGTTTAATGTCTAAAAGAAACACTAATCTAATTGGGCTTCTTTTTTCCGGGTTTTCAGCTAAGACGTTAAGCCATCTTGGTACCCTTTGTCATATGAATCAATGAAAAAACTTTTGAGTTATTCAGCTAGAAAGAGAAAAAGGTTAAAATCGTTTTGTGTCAGCCCTACTGTCTTCTCAACTGAGCAATGGTAAGAGGAAAAAGTTCATTCAGGTCTTCAGTAATGGTACCAAAATTCATATTCTGGCTTCCATCTTTAAATACATTCAAGAAGCATCAAGAGAACGGTGAATAAGTTAAAAACGAGGGAACCTTAGAGAGGAAAACTTGATCAAGGGGTCACCAGAAGAAGAGGGAAGATCATTTTAACGTAGAACTAAAGAGATCAATTAGAAAAGATCTAACTCAATCCATAAGACGTTTGGCATGTGAGAAAGGAGTTTCACCTAAGCCAAAGAGCAAAGAAAAAACACTTGAAATGAAAATGAAATAATACGGGAAATTTGTGAGGCACCTTGTTACTCTAGGACAGAAAATTAGAAGGTTAGAGAGGGTGAAGATCATCTTGAATAAGTTGGAAAATGACCATGGAATTATATATATATATATATATATATATATATATATATATTATATTTTATATGCGCAGTACTTAGTGAAAAGCGCTCAATATCTGTCATAGAGCTAACACATTCAGTTGTATGGATATGAGTTTGTGACCCTAATATTTCACGCTTTTGCGATCATTAGAAAAACTGCGTGAACTTAAATGCGTATACCTGTATGTATGTGCGTCTGTGTATGAGAGTGTCATCCCAAACAAACACATAAGTAAATTCTCCATCCCACCACCAAACATAGTCAAATAGTCAGACTAGAATGCATAGATCCAATTTAAAAAATAAACCAGTTTGTCTGATAGCAAAAGAGCGAAACCCAAGGTCACAAACGCATATCCATACAACTGAGTTATATATATATATATATATATGTGTGTGTGTGTGTGTGTGTGTGTGTGTGTTAAAAAATAGATAAACCGCAAAATACATTTGAATCACTAACACGCAAAAAATTCATTTTTATAATATGTGGAAATATCTACTGTTTGCTTGAAGAAGGTCGCGAAACGAGAAACCCATGTAGCAGAATTATGTAAAATAGAGTTTAATATTTATTTTAAAATAAAAGATCCACAGTTCAGCCAAAAACGCTTGCGGTTTATCTTCTTTTTAAAATATACACCTTTTCTCTCGTTGGAAATACTATAATCTCTTTCCTTCGTACATATATATATATATGTATATAATGTATACATTATATATATATATCTATATACATATATATAATGTATACGTTATATATATATATATATATATATATATAATGTATATATATTTATAATATATATATATATATATTGTAATATAAATTTTGAAACCTACCCAAGTTTCACCTAAGTGGATCGTCAGGAAAGCTGTCTCTTGGGTGGGTTTGTCTTTTTTCCCATTAAAAGGTTTGTCTGGCTCCCAGGTGTATCTTTAGGTCTGCTCTATGGTTGTATTGAGCTCTTTTGTTAGTTAGTTGTTTACTCGTGTCGGGGTTTTTTTTTTGGGCTTCAGACCTGCATCTGTGCGATTTTTTTTTAAACAGTCTTTCATGTTTCTGGCTCTTTTTAACATTTTTAAACCTTTTTTTTTTTTCCTACGAGATTGATTTGATTAAAGGCAAATCAAAAATTCGAAAAAATTTTTTAAAAAAGTATATATTACCTATATATATATATATATATAATTACAATTAAAAGAACAAAAATTACTTCAACAAATTACCTATTTCAAGATGGTCTGTATATGGCTATAACGCTGATGATAATGAACCGACTTTCTGCGCGCCTATGTTTTTGTTTAGCGTAACATTTGATTGGTTAATCGCAGTAAAGCGCACAAGCCTGTTTTTATTCATAATTGTAATTGTGTAGCCATTTTGAACGTTAAAATGTACGAGATTCATGGAAAGTTGGAGTTTATAAGCAGTAAATTCGACCTTGTCTACCGATTGGTTCTTTGTAGCTCAAGCGGTAAAGGCACGTCAGCAACATATGATTTCCGTATAGGATGCAGGTTCGAATCCTGTCAAAAAACGAAAATTTTCTTAAAATTTCTCAACCCATTCAGGCCGGTAAATGTTATTTAATACTATTTATCATAAACAGAGCATTTGCTTAAATACTTGTATCTATAAAATAACAACGTTAAACATAAAAATATGTCTTTAATAAATATATATATATATATATTGGAGCAGAGAAGCCACCAGTCCTAAAGAGTTAAAGCATTATTACAATGTGCTCACGAAACTTCGAAATTGGCATGACTGAACCAACACCACTCAGTTGTAAATTTCTCCACATTAATTTTATTAATTCTCTATCCTTACCTTTTCATATCGAGCAATTTATAACAAAAAAACGCCTGCCTAAAAGTGCTTTCCCACCAGTAAACTACGGAAAAAGAACCAACAATTTTGTCACCTAAAACTTTTTTTACAACTTTATACTATATATATATATATATATATATATATATATATATATATATATATATATATATGAAATTCATATTTAACAGAATTCATATGCTAAATAACGTCTGTTACTCTCAAATAGTCTCGCGTGTTCTTTTCTCACTTCTGAATAATTGACATGTTTAAAAATACACTTCTTAAATCACACTACACTTTTTTTTTCTTTGTTGATAACTATTTCGAATTCCCACAGACATCCCAATCAGTCTCATACCAGTTTTACAAGTCAAAGATAAACTTGTTCCTCGTACCATGGAATGGAGTTTATTTGTGTGCGTAAAGAAATTATACGTTTATTAAGAACAATTATTCTTCAGAAGGCATCAAGCGTAGATGTTTGATTTTCTTTTCATCGGGTGCGCATGCGTAAATGTATGTGCGATAGAAATTTCATAATTTAATAATGGACAGTGTTACTCCGCCACCTACTTACCTCTCTCTCTCTCTCTCTCTCTCTCTCTCTCTCTCTCTCTCTCTCTCTTTCTCTCTATATCTATCTCTCTCTTGCTCTCTCTCTGTCTCTTTACCCGTTTCCTCTTGATATTTATTTTATCTTTCTTTACTTATTTTCTTTCTCTATCTTTGTCTCTCTATTGCCTTTTCTTTCTTTTTTTCTTTCTTCTTTCTCTCTTTCTCTTCTGTTTTGCCTTTCTTTCCTTCTTTTTCACTTCATTCTTTCTTTCTTTCTTTCTTTCTTTATCGTTCGCCCTTCTCTTTCTTTTTTTTATTTCCTTCTTTTTCCTTTAAGTATCTATTTCCATTTTCTTTTCTTTTTTCTTCTTACTTCCTTTCTCTCTCGGTTTTGTCTCTATTTCTCTTTCTTTCTTTCTTTCTTTCTTTCTTTCTTCTAAGAATAAAATTGAAGCAAGTTGACCCCAGTTTTCACACAGAAATGTTTTTCACACTTACCCAAATTTTATTTTTAAGTTAAATTAATATTAATGAAACAACTCATTGTCGTCTGCTTTAATGAATACCGACACGTGAAAGACACTGCGTTCCTCCCACAGTAAAATGGCCACTCAGTCTATGCTGGGTGTAAAATATTCGATAAACTAGACGACTAATGGCGGCTAACACTTGAATTTTTGTTTTTACAATGATGTTCATCCTGTATAAAGCCCAAGAGCCACTCGATTTAGAGGGTTACAAAGTAAGAGGCACAGTTTATTTGGGGAAGATAACGGTTCATCCCAAACTTAAACAGGCCTAGATTATACTAATCGAGGAATCATCTTGTGAGTCTGGGTTGAATTTGTCCTAATAGGTGCCCAAGGGTCAGCGCCTCCTCGAGAGAGCACCCGTGGTAGGTGAAAATCAAGGGTCCGCTCTGTGATGATTTATTGTCAGGCATAAGTGATTATTTTCTTTGGGATTGCCACTTATTTCAAACCGTAAAGGAAGTAGTGGTGCCACGTAGAGAAGTTGACGTTTTTGAGTCTCTGTGACTTGATCTTTTCGACGCGATATTTTTGATTCGTCTCCTGGCTGACTGATTAACTACAAAAAAACTTATCTTTTTATAACCTTTTGGGGGATCATAATTTTTTTTAATGTAATGCATAAAAACACAATTGAAAGTCTTAATTACAGCAATAGGTTACTACGCGCCAATCGCTTAACATATTTGATGGTATATAAGGCTACTTTTTTTTATCTCCAAAATATCTAAAAGATACCTCCCAGATTTTTTTACGAACTTTCTGGTCGGCTAACTCTATATTACTGTAACATTAAATGTAAATAAGGCCGCTGTCTTATATGGCATCAAATACAGGTATGATTGTTGCGTTTGTTAATTGCGAAGAGGGGAATGGCTTTTTAAACTCTCGAAGACAGCGTTTTGGATACTGCTAGCCATTAAAAAAATGGAGGCTGTTGAAGATGAAAATAAGATTTTATTCAGTTTTTTCCCCTCTAAAAAAAAAAAAATTCCGCGTTCGTAAGTGTCATGTTCTTTCAAGGATATCTTCCTTTTACTGAATACTAGCAGTAGAGCCCGGCGTTGCCCGGGGATGTAACAGTAAGAGATAGATCAAGTATCGACCATCATAAAGACTGAAAAAATAAAATTGACAAAGATTATTGTTTAAAGTTGACGGACACGCATGTCTTAATTAGATTTTTTTTTTTTTTTTTTTTACGAATTGGTTGGTCCAAACCCAAACTCAAACAAAACATTGTTTTCAATCTTTATGAGTCTACCGATTGAATAGAATTTTATTATAAACAATTGTCTTGTAAATGGAATTTTTAAAGCATTCTGAATGTAAAAATAAAGAAAAAAATGTGCAAGACAATAAGAAACACTACCTGCCAAAAAAAAAGTGAAGTTTTGTTGAAATCGGTTGAAAAATCTAGGAAATCCGATCCCATATATAAACGAACAGAAAAACACACACACAAACAACCTGGGTTTTATAATAAGTATAACTTGATATGAGTTGTCCCCCTCTCATTCTCGCGACAGCGATGCCTCTTAATCGTGTTTTCAAATTGATTTCGTGCAAATACAATTGTGTTTTTCCAATTTTTGGCGCTATCAGAACCACCACAAGGTAATTTTACGTAGTCCTGTGAAGTTTTGTTGAAATCGGTTGAAAAATGTAGGAAATCCGATCCAATATATAAACGTACAGACACACACACACACACACACAATCTGCGTTTTATAATAAGTAAGATGCATAAACAATGCATTACTATGAGTGTTCTGGGGAAAGTACAGTGTCGTAGTCTAGAATTGCCTTATCCGCGGTTTCGGCTTACGGCCATATCACATTGAAACACCTGTTTCTGTACGATCACCGAAGTTAAACAACGTCGAGCTTGGTCAGTACGTAGAGGGGTAACCGCTTGGGAATATCAATTGCCGTCCGCATGGATGTAAGATTGGTGGAATTGTTGATCGGAGAGCCGATTTCCAATTCCAGATGGGTTCGTTAAATTCATTTACGCGCAAATACCTTTGGGGGAGGTACGAATCCAACTGTTCTTCCCATCTATGGGTTAATTAGTCAAACTTTTAGCACTAAATCATTATTAACCCCCCTCCCCTCTAAGAAAAAACAAATTCTTACAATCTATAAAGAATTCGTAGAATCAATCGAATTAGATCTCCGCGGTTTCGAATTTAAACGTCTGTCTTTCTTCTACACCGATTGTTTATTATGTCTACAGAACTTTCCTGCTATTTAATCATTGGGTATTGAAGTAGAAGAGACGGATTCTTGCATTTTCCTCGGGCATTAGTGCGAAGTTAAATTTGACTGGCCGATTTCATTTTTTAACGCTGTTTTATTTCAATATCCAAATTTGTACCCTCTTGCGAAACGTAAAGATGTATTAAAAATTTCAATATTCTAAACTGTTTTTTTTTTTAGTTAACAAACAAATTGTTCAAAAGTTTTTTTGTTTTGTTTTTTTTTTTTTTTAAGCATTTCACTCCAAGTAAGGCGGGAAGCCACTAGGACGCAAGGGGTTACAGAAAAATTTAGTGCAAGATCAGATATTAAACATAGAAGAAAAAGGATGAGGATGAGGGTAGTGGATAGATCAAGGCAACTGGAGATGTCGATTGACATTACACTTGAATAGCTGGAGATTATAGCTCTCAGGGAAACAGGAATAGGGAAGGGAGTTCCACAGGCGAGAGGTGCGAGACATGAAGCTATTAGAAGAAGAGATTTAATACATTTAGGAGTTTTGACAGTAAAGGGATGAGAGCGGAATGCCAGCCTCGTAGGGCGCTTGAACTCATGGTGTCTGGGAACCAGCGAATGCAGCTCCTCGGAGCAATTTCCATGAAAGTATTTGTAGAAAAGGCAGAGGGAGGCGACGGCGCGTCTGTGAGAAAGTGACTGTAGACGAGACGCCAGAGCAGGGCCAACCACATTGCATATCCGCCTCTGGAGCCTATCAAGAACCCCGAGTTAAACGTTTATTATTATATGCTTGACTTTACTGAATCCGTTCGCAGCATAATTTTAAAAAAAAAAGGTGTGTTTTTTTGAAGACAGTGTGTGTGTGTGTGTGTGTGTGTGTGTGTGTGTGTGTGTGTGTGTGTGTGTAATGATACAACTCAGGCAGATAAACTTACGTTGAGTGAAAAGAGACGCTTCACTGAGAATATTGATTACCGTCAAAAAAAAGCCGAAAAACCTTGTCACATGATCAGCTGTTGGCATATTATTTGCACAAAAAGACTGACCAATGGTATTGAATTAAATATTCGTTTTAGCAGTAGTTTATTGGAGGCACGGTTCGGATTGAGAAATCAATCCAGTTCGAATTCCAGTCGAATCCATTAATGCTAATACTCTTGTGAAAGGTATGAATTCTCTTTTTCTCAGCAGGACAGACCGGGTTCTACAGCCTTGAGTGACAACTGGTCTACCGCAGAAAGCATTAAGTAGACAAAATTTGTCTAAATTATTCAATGAAACATGTCTCAATATATATATATATATATATATATATTATATATGTTTATAAAAAAAAAAAAGAGAAAACACTAATATTCTATGATGATACAATGTATTTTCGTGGAATCATATGTTTATCCCCTCCAATTCATCAGACCTAAAAATATATGGAGGAACGATGTTTTAATAGATAGATGCTCATTTGAGGATTTTTTTAACCAGAACAAAAGTTCAAATTCAGTCAAATCTACTTACATTCAAAAATGATTAAGGACTGAATCCTCTTCTTCTCCCACCAGCTATGGGTAAATGGCAGGACAGGCCGGCTTCTATAGTCTTGGATGGCAACTGGTCTACCGCAGAAAAATGGCAACCTACTGCGGAAAAAAACTACCTCGTCAGTTATATATCGAAAGATACATTATCGCCTAAGTGTGTATCACGCATGGCAGTTTAGACACAACAAATTCGAAAGAGTGTAAATCGGTTAATATATATATATACAATGTAATTTTGAAAGGAAAATTATTACAATTTGCTAGATAATAATAAATTCCTAAAACCAAAAAATGAATTCCAGAATTTGAGACCGAACTCTAAAAATGCCAGACATCGGCGGGTTTGTTGATTGGACGGTGACATTTCTGTCTTCTGATTGGTTAGAAAAAAATGACTGACGAAATTCAAATTCTTGTAAGCTGCAACCCTCTTTTTGAATAGATTTTTTTACTTAGACTAAATATAGTTTAGTTTTAGTTTTTACTTCCGCTTGTGTTGTTAGGCGTCGCTTTATAAGAGACACAGTTGTCTGTCAGAGACGGTGAAAATTTGGAGGAGACATATCTCGTGGACTCTGAGAAAGTCTACCACTGATTCGCAGGTCTAGCTTCTTGGTCTGCCTCTCGCTCTCCAGCCAGAGTACCTGAAAGAAGGTGTGTGCTCATTGGTTGGTTGGTTGATAGGCATACAGAAAGTGTCTGAACCATGATCCTCTGTCGTTCGATGTGTTGAAAATTGGTATTGATTGATCTTACCATATCTCTTACTGCCTCATTCCTGATCTTGTCTCTGTTTGTTTCCATGAAGCTCCCTGCTACCGAGATGAATGATCAGGTGGATTAATTATTTCTGAAGTAAATAAGGATGCAAGTAAAACATCTGGTTTCCGACGATAGTATAATTTAAGGCCTTTTTTCGTTTATTTGTTTATTAATTTTCCCCCTTCGCTCAAGTGGGTTACCGCTTTAAACACTAGACTTCAAAGCCATAAAAAATCCGACACTTCTGACTCCAGTAATATCATTTGGGGCCCACTTGACTTCGTGTGAGTCCAGCCGGAGCTATTGTTCCACACAGACATACGGCAGGAAATAATTCTATAAGACAACAAAGAATTCAAATGTGAGACTCTCACAATTTTTCATAGTTTTGGCTTGGTTTGTTTTTACGGCATATCAACCCCAATGGGTTATTTAATGGCGACAAAATTTTTTATTTCTGGTAATATTTTTTTCTTCAAGAATGTATAACTGGTAATATCTTTTTTTTTTTTAAATGTATTGCTGGTAATAAATTTTTTTACAAAGTATTTCTAGTATTAAAACCTATTTTTACACTTACATAATGTTTTAACCCCCGTTTTGGGAATAACTATTTACCCATAGTTGGGACCCTAACAGGTGCTACCACACCGGGTCAGAGTGGACCTAGGAACATCAACAATTAAGAGGTAGTTCCACGCTCCTCAAAACCTCCTTAATCAAAGGCCTTGTTGTTGGACGTTTTTTATCGAATTTGTTCTTCACGCGGATGCAGTTTATCGTCTTACCCAGGACGCAGATGTAGTTTATCGTCTTACCCAGGACGCGGATGTAGTTTATTGTCATACTCAGGACGGTTTTTCATAGCACCTACTATTCTCTTTGGTAGTTGGTAGGGGGCACATTGGTCCCTTTTGACTTTTCTACTTATTTCAGCCGAGCGATTGCTACCGACGCTAATGAGTTGGAAAAAAAAAAGAAGTGATCTTTTTCTAGCCCAAAAGCATGACTCTTCTAATATAAAACTGCAAGCGGAAATATCTGGCTTCCGGCGAAAGCCCTCGATCCCCGAAGACACAAACCAGCTTAATTATTATTTTCTTCACATTCGGTCAAAATGGGTTGGTGCTTTGAACAATTAATGTTATCAGTTTATCTTATGTGCCATAAAAAATCCTGACCTTCTGATTCCAATAATATCATTTAGGACCCACTTGACTTTGAATGTTTCAACCTTCGTATTAACTAAAGATTTGAAAAAAAATTAAAATATTAACGTTTTTTTTTTCTAGTACTGCGCCAAATCCTATAGCGAAGAAAACGGCGACTTACCTCGTCAAACCAATTCAGACAGCGCGTCGAATGTATTCTACGACGGAAAATGTGGCGAAAAAAATTACTTAAAACAAAATGGCACGTATATCCAATCATGACATGCTGAAAATGGAATATTTGAATTAAAAAAACAAGTCCGTCGCAGGAGTCGCTATAAAAGTATGTTGAACATCCTCTCCCAGCTGTCGACGAATGGAAAAAAATGTTCGGCCGATAAAAGCAGTTAGTGATCTCGAATCGGGAAGAAAAAAAGTCGGCGATTTTGGCTGCCACGTTGGTTGGCGAAGGAGTTATTTTTCCGACTGGTGACGTGCATTGGGATTTGTGAATAAAATCATTAATTTTTCTCAACAAGTTTTCAAATTTTTTCTTTCTGTCCCCGATGTTCGAGTCTGAACTTAGTGAATTATTCTCGGTGACGTGGAAATAATCCGCGACAAACATTTCCTTTGCAATCCCAGATCGCTTACAAATCCATGGAGTCGAAGTACTGCAGAGGAAAGCTCATTAGAAAAATTACCATGAAAATATTCATAGAAAAGTCACGGAAAAACTACGTTACGACTGTTTGAACGTGATTGAAGCCGAGATGCCATAACAGAACTTATAATAGGGTAAGATAGATGCAGACGAGAAAAAAATTGTCTAACACAACAGAGTTGTTGCAGATCTTTAGTAACCCTCATTTCAATGTCAAACATTTTCTTGAATTTCATTGGTTGTTAAATAAAAAAAATAAGCTTTGAGAAATTTCCATAACAAAACAGCCAAAATTTGTGCAAAAATAGGCTCAACCGACATAAAAAAAATCTTTCTCAAATTCTTCCCTAATTTAAAATGTTTCAATAAATCCAATTGGCTAAAAAATAAAATATACAACATTCGCTCACGCATTTCTCAGAAAAATTCGCAACAGCTACCACGCCCCATTGGAGCCGATTTCGATGTTAAGAAAAACTATAAATAGAAATAGTAAACGAATTTTCGTCGCATTTGAGACTCACACACGCAAAGATACACACACAGAATTATGTGCCCGCCAAAGAAACAAACTTCCTTTATGAGAGATTAGAAAAAT